CGGCCGCCTGCCGGAGGGCCTCCACCCGCGGATTTGGCAGGCCCCCGACAGCCCCCACTTCGCCGTCGCCGTCGTCGGCTACGAGTTCCGCGTGCACCCCGCCGACCCGAGGGCCCCGCCGCAGATCGAGGCGGCCGCCCACGAGTGGGCCCTCCACGCCGCCGTCGTCCGGCAGGTTCTGTGGGAGATGCTCGAAACCCACGCCGTCGAGCGCGCCCCCCAGCCGCTGGAGCTTCGCCCGGGGGAAGTGGGGGAGCCGGACGCCCCTCAGTCCTTCACCAGCGCCTTCACCACGGAATGGGCGGACTCGCGCGAAGGCCTCGACGCGGGGGCGGAGAAGACGATTGTGGAGCAGCGCATGATGACGGTGGAGGGCGAGGAGCAGCCGTGGTTTCACCCCCCTCTGCACCAAAAGTACACGGAGGATGGCGTGCCGCAGATTTTGCCCTTTGCCCCAAGTGTGGTTATTAAAAGTTCGTTTAGGCAGATCCAGCGCCGTTCATTTAGCGAGGATATTACAAAGCAGCTCATGCAGCCCGTGTTGGATATTTCCTTCCTTGTCCACCCCGACGCTTGCTTCTGGTGGAACCAGGAGAATGAGGAAAAGTGTGTGAATCAGATACTGGATTACGCGAAGCGGGTGCCCTTTGCGTTGCCATTTTATCTTTATTTTCGTGTGGACTCGTCCAAGCAGTTGCGCCTGAATCCGGAAATACAGGAGAGAAAAGACGCCATGCTCAAAGAGAAATCAAAGTGGTTCGACCTTCGTCATTTTTGTGAAACCTATTCTCAAGAATGAAATAACTGGTTATTTCCTTTTTTATTTTTTTTGAATGGGTATTCAATAAACACTCTAAATACGATGGGATTGTGGAGGAGGGGATAGTGGAAGCACCAAGATTCTTTCCCTTTGGGGTTTGCTGACCATGAATAGGATATAAAGTATGGCTACCTTATCTTCATCACCTGTTCATCTCTTTTATAATATATCTATATATTTTTTAGAAACGCCTAAACACTTAGTTCATCGTATCTTAGTAATTACCTTAACATCCTATAAGTCAATTTTTATTAGTATAAAATGCCGTCTAGTCCCATTGCAAAAATGCGTGCCCGTGCTCACCAACCAATCAAACGGTTGACTGAGGTGGAGAAACAAAAACGCCGTGAAGATGCTGATAAAAAAAAGTCCAGAGCACCACGATATCTTGTGTATATGTTTGCATTCATTCTAATAGGTTCTATCTTTGTGGAAATCTATTTTTCTACCATGTTTTCACCAAGAATGATGCATTAGGAAGGCTTTGTTTCCATAGGAGTGAGTTTTTTTGAGATATAGTCGCGTCAATATGTGCAAAATTTCTAGGCCTCCACGATTATCGAGTGTAGAATCACTTCTATTTGCTGAAAATGGGCTAAATTCGAGCTAATAAAAGGACAAACTTGAAAATTTTAACATTTACATCTGAATATTTTTTATACCATATTATTTCACTCTCATACCCATGTAAATTATCGAGATCCCAGTGCGATGTCACCACAGCGTTGTGCTTCATGACTTCACTGGAGATTTCGTTTCAACACCAAACCATTTTTATCTTAGTCTTTGTTTCAGATCTCCTTTTTTTTTTCGTTATTCTAGACTACAACTTTCGAGGAGAGCTCAAATTTATTTCACCAGAAAGAAGACCACCATGCTTTTTCGAAGTATTTCATTGTTCCGCGGGTTCTTTGCCCGAACCTTTGTGGGAGGTATGGGCTCGAACGTCAAAAGGCCCTACCGCGTTGATATTCGAATGGAACATGACAAAAAACGGCGCATAAAAAGACGCAACGTTGGCTGTCGCCGGATGATGAAGTCCTAAGGTGCGGCAAATGGACGAGAGCAGAGGGGGGACGTCGTTTATGAAAATTTCTTCTTTGCATATCAAATAGGATTGAGCGTGAGATGCTGACGTGCGCACTCGACCTGTGATGCGACGTAGCCGAATTATCCACCACGGGGACGCCATCGTAATCGGCGCCAATCATTTTTATTTTTCTTCTCTTTTTCGTTATTTCCATGCAAACCAAACCGTCGCTGCATCACCTGGTTTCATGTCCTGGTCTTTCATCCATCTGTTGGGTTTTGTTTGTTTAGGTTCACACACACACACACACATATACACACAGGTAATATCTGGGTTTAGCAAAGGGCGTCATGCGGTCCAACCTTTATGGGAGCAAAGTGAAGGAGAGCCCCCGCGAGGGCGACCCCCGCGGCTCCAACAAACTCCACGTGGAGGAGCAGCTCCAGCGCGAGAACGAGGCCCTGCTGGACGCGCTCCGCCACGGCGTCCGTCGGATGGGGGCGATGGCGGGCGCCCTCAACGCAGAGGTCGGCGCGCAGAACCGCCTGCTGAGCGGCCTCGGCGGGGGCTTCGTGCGGGCCCGGACGGGGGTGGGAACTTCCATCACCAACCTGCGAGGGGTTATGGGGCGCCATGGGTACCGCCAGATCGTTTATATCGTCCTAGGTACCCTTTTTTCACTCTATGTTTTATTTCGGTTGCTTTTGTAGCGCCGCGGCTGGACCGCTTTGGGATGGGACTCTAATCGTTCTAAAGCCTGCCTTGTATAATTAAATGGGGGGTATTCTGTTCCTCTTCTATCACACCCTGCTACTCACTTGGGCGTGCTCCTTAGGTTCTCACCTGGCATGTATCTCTGTTTTATGAGTAAGCGAATAACGAACCTTCGGTTGCTGAAGGTAAAATCGATGACAGCAAAAAAAAGATAGCAATATAACCAATGGTTGATTTTATGACAAGTATTTTTATTGCACTGGATCACCGCCAGTAGTAGCTTGGATCCATTTTTTTCATCTGTTGCTATGGAGTTGTTGTTTTTAGTAGAGAAGGAAATAATCTTTTTCCTCCTCGAAAAACTAAACACCGATAATGCAGAAGCGGATAAATTGGCAAGCTCAAGAACTTTTCCCTCTATAATAAACGATGCATTCAGCAGTGTTTAAAATGAACACACATCCGTCATTGAGGTCACGAAGCGCAAGTAAAACTGCTCTTTTATTGCTATTTGCGTTTTCATTCATATATATTCTTTCCCCTCATAAAACGGATTATCTTGATGAAGTTAATAGACGTTGCGAGCATAAACGGTTTTCGTCGCAGTGAGCAGAAAAGTGATTTAGTAAATTGCGGATGGTGACCTCGTATGTGGTGAAGAAATATAGAGCACAACGGTGGCATGGAGTGTGGTAACTTTTTCTCCCCTTGTGCTTCAAATAACGCGTCTTTGCATTGTCCGCTTCCTATGGGACGTAAAGACTGAATATGATATGATTGCTTTCAAGCGACTTTTAACTCCAATTAAGATCGATCTCTATTACACAAAAGGACGATACGTATTTATTCATTCTTATTACTCATACAAGCGAATTTTGAAAGACCATTTTAAACCAGATAATATGATGCGTCGACTTCAGTTACCAGTTGCAAAGCAACTGCTGAATTGGGCACTTCCTACGGCATCATCTCGGATGTTTTCACCTTCAACGGGTGATTCAAGTGGTCCAGAAACGGGCATCGACGAAAAATTTGAGTTCTTTGATGACGATCTTTCGTTCCTTGACGAGTTTTGTAGCGAAGAGACGGGCGATTTGAAATCATTTATTCCTGACGAAGACGCCAAATTTTTGGACCAGGAGGGCAAGTAGTATAGCGGTCTAAATAACAACAACTAGAAACATGATAAATACGAAAGGCTTGCACTTGGGTAGCGTTTGGTAAAATTTATTCGAACTTATAAAATACATATTTCGATAAATATAAATATATCTATCTATATATATATATGTGTGTGTGTGTGTGTTGTTGACTGAATATAAAACCAGATTTATTGTTAACATTCAATTTTTTAAAAAATTTAAAAAATCATCTTTTTTTCCTCTCTTTCCATCAAAACTCTTGATCACCATACATACTTGTATTTTTCGCTATTTTATTTTGATTGACACCACGAGGATAAACAACGTGTATATTGTTATCAAACACAGTAGAATATCCATTTGTAAATCACCCACACTCGCAAAAGTTCGCACATACGCATTCAGGAAAGGAGAAAATGTCCTTTGTGCCCAATCAAAGAACCTCACTGTATGTCTGTGATATACCTTTGGACCTCCCTTATCCGGAAGATGCTCTCAGTTCCCTCTTCAACAGCGTTGCGTCAGTTGTCTCTTTGAGAGTCTGTCGCGATATAGGCACCCAAAAATCGCTCGGGTATGCGTACGTCAACTTTTCAAGCGCGGCTGATGCTGAGAAGGCGCTAAATGTATTGAATTATACCGATATCATTCCTGGACTGCAAATTCGGATCATGTTTTCGATGCGTGATCCCATGGTCCGGAAAAGCGCCTTGAACAATGTCTGCATCACAAATTTGAGCCCATCCATCACTGCAAAAGAGCTTCACAAGCTATTTTCCGAGTTTGGTAGCATTCTATCTTGCAAGGTTGCGTTGGACCGGGACCGGAACAGTAAGGGTTATGGGTTTGTTCAGTATGAAACCGCAGAAGGGGCGAAGTCCGCACTTCAGATGCATGGCAAAAGAATTGGAGACTCAGAAGTCAATGTCTCTCCATTTATGCGTAAATTGGAGCGTGACGCCCAACGTGAAAAAACTTTTACAAATGTTTATACCAATAATATTGTAAATACCGCCACAGATGAGGATATCAAAAAGGTATTCGAGAGGTTTGGGAGGGTGACCTCTTTATTTATTTCTGGAGAGTCTAAGCACACCACCAAGTTTGCCTTGGCTAACTTTGAGAACCATGCGGACGCCGTTAGAGCAATCGAAGAGCTTAACAACGCCGAATGCGAAATCTCTGATCCAACGGTGCCGCTGATGGTGTGTCGTGCACTTAAAAAGAGCGAGCGTGCGCGCACAAAACCAAAGATCCCTGCCATCTACCAAAGCCAAGGTCGAAACCTCTACGTCAAACACCTAGGCGATGACATTCGGCAGGAGGAATTAGAGAACCTGTTTAGCCCGTTTGGGCAAATTGAGTCCTGCGCGCTAATGCGCGACACGAACGGCATCTTCCGCGGCTTTGCGTTTGTGTGCTTTACCGAGAAGGAGTCCGCCCTCGCGGCGATACGGGAATTGAATGGGAAGATGCTCCCCAACGGCAAGAGGCCGTTGTACGTTAGCCAGGCGGAGCAGAAGGACATGCGGCTGCGCCTTCTCCAACAGCGGCACTCGGCGCTGAAGCACCAGCGCCCGATGCCCCCTCCGATGGGGATGTACGGCCCGCAGCAGTGGCCCCAGCACTACCCAATGGGGAACTCCATGTACATGAACGCGAATATGGGAATGCCGCCCTTCATGCACGGGCCGGGCGCGATGCGGCGTGCGATGCTGCCGATGCCGGCCCCGGGTAATTACCTGCCCCGGCAAACCCAACCGCAGATGCCGCTGCCGACGGCGCCGACCGGGGCCGGGGTCCGCACTGCGGGCGCGGGGATCGATCTTAACCAATTAAGCATGATGAGCGCCGAAGAGCGAAAGAACTTCCTTGGGGAGACGTTGTACAGTAGAATTGTGGAGCAGGTCCCGCAGCAGGCGGCGAAAATTACGGGGATGCTTCTTGAAATGGGTACCACGGAGATCTTGGATGTCCTGGCGAACGGGAACGCGTTACGGGCAAAGGTAAATGAGGCGGTTGCCGTTCTTCGTCAGCACTCGGGGTAGCGAAGGAATTCGCCTATCAGTGCTTTACCATAATCTGATATCTTCTCACGATAATGTGGGAATTTCTAAATAGCTAATATGAAAAAAAAATATAAAAAACCTGAACTATTAACTGAATTTTTGTGTCTTTATTTTAAAGCGAAATGTAATTGCTCGGATTGATCACGATTAATTGGTTATGAATTCAGCTTTCGTTCTGGGGTTACTTTTCCTAATGGTGTTATATTTTCTATTACTGAATTTAAAGCGAGCACTTTGCATTAAACCAAAACGGGAGTTGTTAGGCTATAGAATTTTTCGATGATTTTACTTTATCGACTCTTTCTATCAGGTTTAAAGTACTTAAGTGGTGTTGAATTACACATATGTTTTCTCCATATTTATATTTATCGACGTAACTATGCTGGTGTTCATCCGTTCTTAGCTACCGTTCGAAATTTTATTTCAATGAACTTCTATTCCTTTTTTCACCTTTAACTACTAGGACCCTTTAATATTGGGACGAATGCTCAAATGTACAAGACAATTCCGAAAAAATCGGAATGACCATTCTTACTTTTCAAAGATGCTCCAGTCTACTACACAAGACATCAAGTTCCCCAGTGAACATGATTTTCTTAATTCATCTGCGGCCCAGATAGCAACACCTGCGCAGCTAGCGTCTAGTATCACCAGTTTTTACGAATCCACCGTTTACGCTTATTGCATATTCGACATGGCGCGAATTATACATCAAACTGTGCTTGATAAGCGGACCGAAATGCTCCGTCATCCGGAGTTGCTTTTAGTTTCACCGTACCTCCTTATCAAAAATCCCCGACATTTCCCTAAGTGCATCGGTGAGGAGCGGTTTAAGGCTCTACAGGAGGTGTTGCTTGCCCTCTTCTCTAAGCACGAGCAGTCCCCCGATTCGCTTACCCAGAAGGCGTTGAAAGAGTCCCTCGAAGGCAAGAGCCTGGTGCCCTTTTATCGCGGTTTAGCCCTCTGCTCGTCGATCTCCCACTCGCTTTCCGAGCAGGCGGCCCATGTCTTCGAGGCCTTACTGCTTGAAGGGTCGATTTCGCAAGAGCTGTGGATCGAAGGGGAGTACAACGACCGCGCCGTCACGCTCTCCCGATTATTTATGGCGACCGCGCTGGAATTCGGCTCCGAACCGATGCTCAACGCAGGCATCAGTCTTTCACGCCAAATTGGCATCGACATCACCTACACTATATCGAAAAGAATATGCCTTGCGTTCACACGAATCCAGAAACGCCGCTTGGATTGGTCTTTCAAAGAATCAGGTCATTCCAAAAATAAGTTTTCGCCAAAAAAAGGATGGAATTTAGGGAAACCAACCTAATCCAAAGCTTACCAATAGGGCATTGTGATGTGCATCCATCTCTTTTCTTGGTTGGGTTTGCTTTGATACGCATTCCTGTTTACAAATGGAAAGTAGACAGCACTATTCACTATTCATTTATTTTTTCTTTAATAGATTTTTATTTTTGTTATTATTTTTTTCTAATTTTCTGCTAATTCGTACCCTTTTCTATCTTCTAAACATCTATCGCTCTCCCTTTCTATATCAATAATAACAATGGTTCATTTATTCCTTTGCTCATGTAACACCAATTAAACTATTCCTTGTTATTGATTGCACAGTTCTAGTCTTTGCGTCTTGATTTTTTTATTTTTCTAATAGAAACCTCAAGTACAATAGGATATCTTACAGAAACGAATCGATAGGGATGGAGGCTCTTTCAGAGGCGTTTCGTGCTGCCAACCTCAGTTACAGCTTCGCTATTTCTCCTCATCCTACCCAGAAGAGTACTTTTCGCTTGATTCTCTCACGCCCCACCAATAGGAATCCGGAGTCTACTATCTTTCTATCCATTGATATTTTTATGATTTCAAATACTCCTGAAATCAGCACATTTGAGGCAAAAGTGGAGAATATGCTTTGGAGGTTACCCTTCACCGTAAAAGAGGGACGTTTAAAGGGATTTTCGGAATCCTATATGGACAAGATTTGGTCCCAGAAAGAGGCCTCTAGGATGATCCAAATGTACCTTTAACTTATAGCCACCGACTAGGTGGGACAGCAACCATGTAAAACGGCAAGCTACAAGTATAGCTTTTACCGACGACATATTATAAGATGCCATGACATCGCCTCCAAATCTGGAAGTAAAGTAAGAGATTTTTTTTCAAAATGTATCGTTTTTTCCTCTATTCTCATTCTTTCCATTCCTTAAATTTACATCTTAGCACATTTTATTTCATAGCAGATCAAAATTATCACGATTGCTACTCGCATTCCCACCTTATCGCAATTTACTTTACACGTCTATTACAATGTTACCTCAGGAAGGGGGGTTAGACCCTGATCTGTTATTACAAGATGAGGGCCAACTTATTAAGGGACTTACGTGGACGCAGCGAATACAAGGCTTCCTCATTTTTGTGTCTCTGGGGTTTTTCGCCAACATGATGGGGTATCTGGCCCTGGGAATGGGAGTTTACTGGAAGTACACGGTTCTTACCACTATGGGTAGTATCATATCCACTTTTAGCACGATGATTTTGATGGGTCCAATGACCCAGCTGCAATCCATGATGGACGAGCGACGGAGAGGAGCCACCTTATTGTATTTTGGAACGTTAATTATGTCTTTAATCCTGGCCTTTAGTTTCAAATCGTTAATTCTCTGCGCACTTTGTGGGTTTTTACAATATCTGGCGCTTTTTTGGTATTCATTATCTTATATACCTTACGGCCAAAATGCATTGTTGGTGTTGATTTTTGGTGAATGAGAGTCTGTAAAGACGATTTCTCTTTGATAGCTCGACTAATATCCTAGTTACCCATTGATTACAATTCTTCCTTCTTTATCACATCGACTTCTAGTTCCTAAAGGGATTGATAACGATGTTATAACGATATATCCGTTTCATTTATTTCCATCTTCCCTACGAATGTGCAACTAGTGTTTCTTTCTTTTTCTTTTTATGATTTTTTTAGTTACTCTGTAGTGAATTTATTTTAATAGTCTGGATGCAGGAAAAGATAACCTTTGTTGAATTACACAAGAAGCTCACCAAGATGGGCTTTGCTGCTTGGAAAACGATAACCGAAAAAGACATATTCAGCGGAAACCCGTATGTCTACAGCAATTTTGTTCGGTTTATCTTCACACATTTTGCGAGTGTGACGGCGGAATTAATGAAAAAGCATGACTGGTTCGTCATTGAGAGCAATGATGTGGCGCTGGGGAAGGCTTTTATTCGCTTATTGAACAATGAGTTTGGTTTCATTTCTCCGATTACTCCTACTCAGTATGCTAAGCGGCAGTTTTCTCACGCCAAAATGCACCTGTGTTTGGCCCTTATTAAATTCCTTTCAAAAGCTGGTTCGAAAGTAACCCCGCCACATCATGGAGTAATTTCTAAGCGGGAGACCATTCCCAACAGGGCCTTTTTAATAGACATTATTGAGTGCCAGGAAGCTGAGCTCATTAGAGAGAGGCGAAGCGCTCTTAACCGAATGCCTCGATTTTAATAACTTCTAGAATAACCAACTTCTTCCCTCCGCACATACACTTCCCTTCCCACCCCCTGGATAAAAAATACAAATAGACGAACGAACGATATTGCAAATGCTTGATGATATTTTCCAAACATAGAGTGACACCTCGGTTAGATTAGGGTTGTGGGTGTTCACTCGATTCAATTCCTTCTTTACCCTTCACTCCCCATTTTCCCCTCCCTCTCCATACACACACCTTCTTCTTCTTATGTGTTGTTTCCTTGAAGCTGACTTTCATAATATGCAGTTGTGTTTTTACCCAAATTATACTCTTTGCCCAGCTTCACAAACTTTCCAATACTTTTCCTTCTTCAACCCTCTTCTACAACCATCATATGATGCTTTACCACGCTTAGTATAGACTTGTGCAGCACATGGCAAGCAAAATCCTAGTTCGTGCCGGAGATGATAAGACCACTACTAATGGTCTGTTGGCTGCGTTGGAGTATCGCAGCACACCCGACCAACGTAGTGCACATTTTGAGGATATTTACTCCAATTACGCACTTCTAAAGGCACAGGCGGACGAGTTACAGCTGACAAAGAGAAAAATTGACTCTGAATTATTTCAGAGTAATCACGACAGGATCGGCGAACTGCTTTTTGAGCCGATTGAAGTTGACCAAACCGATTGGGGTGACTGGGATACCTGGAAAAAGGTGGAGACAGTGGTTCGAAAATTTGTCTATGGGCAATCACCTAATGTAACAAAAAAACCCGATGTACTGGAGTCTATGAAAAAAAATACAGCACTTCTCAATGATGTAAATAAAGACCAAGCGGAGCGAATCCGCCTAATGGAGAGTTCTATGCTGGAGTTACAAAGCGAAATAGGTGGATTAAGGAATTTGTTGCAATTAAAAGAGCGGAACGCTCAAAGTTTTGCCAGCAAAAACCGCATGCTCGTTCTTCAGGTGCGACAAAAGCAACGCGAAGTTAATGAATTAGGAGGTAAGAACACCGATGAGAAGGAATTGGTTAGGGACTTTAAACTTGTCATCGATGCCAACAAGCGCCTTGAAAAGGAAAACATGGAACTCAGGGCCAAATTGAACGTCAGGAATGCCTTCCTGGGCATCTCCATCAATGAGAAAGAGGTTAAGGCGAACCGGAAAGAATTAAGTTGGCCACAGCGGCACTCGGTGGGTTTTAATTCTAACAAACCTTCCCCTACTCGCGATGCGCAAAAAGATAAACAGGTTGACCTCATATTACAGGATGATACGCAGCGGTTAAGGTACTTATTCAACGAGACTCCGATCTCTGCGATCTGGACAACACTGAATCGACGCGTCCAGGCGTGGATGCAACGTCTTGAAGGTGAAGTCAATAGTACTATGGCGATGCTGGATCATGACGCTAATCTGACCCCCTTTTGTGACGAAACTGGCGGTCTTCGCTTTGAAAGGGATGATGACGCGTTTCTTCTTCCATCTCCTGGCGTTTTTACCCTATACCGCGGATACAACAAAAACTGCAATGCTTTAGATGAGATCAAGGCACATCTTCCAGTTAGTGTTTCGTGTGCACCGCGCGACGACTTTCCTTATTCGACACCAACCACTGCATCCGGGACTATTAAACTCTCTTCCTTACCCCGCGAGCCATCCAACACGACTGCTATTTCTTCCACACGCAGCGGTTTGGTTGGCGCTCAAGTCGATCCGAAGGCTGGCAAAACTGTGTTGAAGCGGAAAAAGAAGAGAAAAGATGCGCATGCGGAATCTACTCTTTCGTTATCCCATCGCAGTGCGGATGGGAAAGCGCCATCAGAGGCATCCATCAAACCGAAGAAAAATGCGCGTGCCAGCAAAGAGGGCGATACCGGGAGCATCGCATCACCCACCCCCGTCCCACACAACCCTAGTGATAATAGCAAAGCCAGCGCCAAGACCGAACCTGTGCAGGCGAGCAACCGGGTGTGGGCAACTTTGTCGAAAGGCATATTAACCATGGCGCAACTTTCACGGGCTGAATGCCTTAAGAGAGAGTACCTTCACATCTCCCGTCTCCGAAAGAAGTTGCTGCTTGAGCAAAAACGCAAAGCAGCAGTCGCAGTGATGAGTGTGGCAGACTCCTTGGATTTCAGTCCCACGCTTACATCCTCTAACATAGCCACGCATGCACACCCAGCGCTACAGCAACGGCTAACTAACCCTAAATTCTCAGAACCGTTAGAGCTTGCCATGACAGCTTCCGATAAATTTACTAACTCTTCTCACATGCAAAACCCGGAAGATCCCAAACAAGATAAAATTTCTTTCCATCATAAATCCATATCACCTTCCAAGAGGCGATCTCTTCGTCACGGCGCCAATCTGTCTAGTGCCGCAGTTCCCCTTATGAGCGTTACTTCTACTACAGAGCCTAATGCGCCGCGGTTGTTCACACAAGAGGTGGGTGCTTCCACTTCATCGAATAGCGTATCGGGTGACTGTTCGGTAACTTTGTCCGACAAATCTTTTGAGCAGTTTGTATCGAGCCCGGCAGGCCAATCGGTTACTCTCTATGAGGACTCTCCCAAAGGCAATCGGATGCGTTCTGTCTGTATGGAAACTTCGTCTGAGCAACCTTTCAGGCAACGTCTACCAAACTCTCCAGGCAAATCGGCTACCTCCTCGGGTAATTATACTAAAGTCAAGGGAATACGCGCTATCAGTTTGGAAGCTTCGTCCGAACAACCTCTTGAGCAGTTTTTATCAAGCTCTACCGGCAAATTCATCACCCATCAAAGCATTTGTGAAGCACCATCCATGGCATCTCAATCATCTTTCAATGCTCCAGCTCACCACAGTAAAGTTACTATTGCCTACACCCAAGGCGACAAGAATCGTCGACGCACTCAAAGGGAACAGCCTGGGGAAGTTACGATTTCAAAGCAAATGGGTAGTGAGACTGTACCGACGAGCCTAAATCTCCTTCAGTGCTTTCGTTCGAATAGTCAAGCGATTCGCCAAGATCTTTCAACCCTTACTCAGTCCTTTTATAAGCTTTGTTCCGAAACACAAGAATCATTGAGTAACCTTCAGTTAGCTTTAGGCAGCATATTCCGCATGATGGAATTCAAAGTCGATGAGAACCTTATCCCAGCAGGGGAGGTTGACACCGTGTTTGAACAAATCAGCAAGAGGGCTCTAAAAGACCTTTCTCAGGAGCGTGTCTTGACCATCTTGTCGGCGCACGGCTTTCAATTAGAGCCGAAGGAAATAACAAATGATATGAGCGACCACGATTGGTTGATGCAACAGATGCGACTTGCGGTTGTGAATGCTGCCGAGGACTTCGTCACGCCCTCCAAAGAGGTGAAAATCAACCCATTGTCGTATGACACTGAAGGTTCTGCAGAGATCCCCTCTACCAAACCACCACAAACCCGTCCGAACTTCACGAGGTCTAAATCAATTTCGGGTCCTAAACCAGTGGAGTCTCGACCCCAGAAGCAACCCACTCCGTCACGAGTACAGGGTCCCTCGGTTGGATCCAACACGTCACGCATCCTTGAGGATGTCATTGCCAATTCAAACTTTATAACCGATGTAATGCATCCCCATGTAATGACACCTTCACCTCAGCGGGTTCATTTCTATGGTGATGAGGAGGAGGAGGAGGAGGAGGAAGGTAAAGAGGAAGTGGAAGAGGAGGACCAACGCGAGTTTAAATTTCGAGAGTATGAAACCACTACCAATATGGCAAGCCCTCGATATCATCGTTCTAGGATCCCTAGCCTCACTCTTGAAGAATGCCGAGCTGCTGGACTATTTTTAAAGGGGCGTCCCATGTTTAAGGAAACTCATTGGCATCCTGTTTTACAGTGCGGGTTTGAAGGTAGAAGGCATTTCATGAACCAAAAGTCGCCGGTGGATCCCCCGTATAAATCGGTAGGATACTCTGCTTTAAAAATTCTGCAGTTCTTAAGGCATCTTCAATCAATGAGCAATCGGAGGTCTATTGAAAAAATACAGCCATTAGTGTATTCCTATCGGCTTGGTACTACTACTAGCAATGAACAACAGCAGGCTCAGGAGCGCTTTGCGCTTTCTGTCCAATCTATATTTGGTAATACATTTAAAGAATTTGTGGAAAATAACCTTTTGAGCATTGTCTCCGCAGCTCATTCTTTCGGAAGCGGATGCCACGTGGACCATTCATTGCTTCTTGCGATTCATCAACTACGTAAACAAGAAGAGGCTCGGCGGCAGCGATCGGTGCAGCTGTTACTTCGACGTGTCACGACCAATATCCGAACCAGACTACTTGCACGCAAATATGCTTACAGTGGCAACGCCTTTTACCTATATATAATGATATTATATGCTCGCTGGCGAGCAGATCATGAAAAAGCGCGTGCAGCCATCAAGTTGGATACAAAAAAAAATTGGAAACAACTGCTGAAACTGGTAGCTAACTATAAAGGGGCAAACATCAAAAGCACCAGTAAAAACAACAACTTACACCTGCCTTCTATCCCAAATACTTATTCGAGATCTCTTGGACCAAGTAGTAGTCACTTTGATATTGCAAATCCCCAAACGAACTATTTTAATGTTAAACGCTAAAGGATTTTTGTGAAGTTGCATCGTTTTTTTTTCTTAAAATTCCCATACCTGTTATATGTTATAAAATATAATTTTCATATCTCTATATATATTCTATATATGTACAATACTATAATACTCGTTTTGATATAATAAGCATAAGACATCTTTAAATGGGTCGCACAAGAAAGTTACAGTGGTGTTTATTACTTTTGTTTACTTGACCTCGGTTAATAACTCCCCATTATTTGCAACATCTGTAGGTGATTGGGAAGTGAAAAAGAGTGCTGACACTTGATGATGCAGAGGAACTCATTAGATATACTACTTCTGGGTGAAGGCAACTTCACATTTACATATAGTCTTGTAAAGAAGCTAACAAAATCTAGGATTTTTAACCGATGCAAACCATTAGACTCGTCCACGATAGCTCCCATTACTGACGGACATGCCGATAAGAGAACCGAAATCGTTCCGGTCTCGAGGCTGAGGCCCACTTGCTATGTTTTAGCTACCTCCTTTGACCCAATTGGAGAGGTCATGGAGAAATATCCCGAATCCTTGCCCATTCTAAAATACTTTAGTGAGAAGAAGCGTGTTCATGTTGAAACCATTAGTGACGTTAATGCCACACAGATTTGGGAATCCCTGGAGAGCCGTCCCAGCCACGACAACGCTAATCCGCAATTGATCATATTCAACAATCCACACATCGGGGTTGAGGACTTGTACCGTCACCGGTCGTTGCTCTCGCACACATTTGCCTCTATACGCGCTCTTCCTTCATTGTCGGCGTCCCGCCCCTTTCCCGTTCGCGAGGCGGTGATTGCTCTGTGTGATGAGCAGCCTCTGAAGTGGGGGCTGCTGGCGGCAGCCGCCCGGAGCGGGTTTGTCTGCGCCGCAGCCGTCCCTATGCTTGGGGGGGAGTTCCCAGACTACGCGCACGCGCGCGGCCAAAGGGACGCGAGGTTTCCATACAAGTCGATGGTGCAGTACTACTTTATCCATCACGCCGATTTCAAGGATGGCCCGGAATTGTATACGATCATTCGCCACTGGGGGATCCCAAATCCTGGTAAAGAGGATAATAGGGTGTCCGCGCCACAGTTCAAAACTTGGTGCCGAATTTATGAACATTTTTACGGCAAGCGAATTACTACAACTCAGGGCTTTGATTTCTTGCGTGCCAGCGATGTCGGCGAGATGGACGACTTTGATCTGCATTCTCTCTCATTGCAAGACACCCCAAAGGAGGAGGAGGCGTGGAAATGTGTGCCACTTGTCCATCCATCCATCGTTTTTTATACTTCAGCTTGGTCTCTACACTCTTCGGAGGGGCCCAGTCACGGCGCCTCCCGATTGTTACCTCCCGACGAGGCCTGCTTTTCGCCCTACTTGGATGTTGGACGAATTGTTGATATGTATAGGCTTCAGGCGAAAGTGGAAAGGCTCGCGAAGGAGTTTGCAGATCGCACCCAATCCTCAGGACAGGTAAACTTAACGCCTATACCCCATCATTTGGATTCCAGGCTCTTGGGCCGCTCGCTGAACACAAAAGAGGCAGCAAAGTTGGAACGCTACCTACGCGGCTATGGTTCTGCGAAGGAGGGGCAAGTTGGCACGTCCTTGTCTTCCTCCCCAACGGAGGTGTATACGTGCTCCTTTTGTCCTTCACCACGATACTTTTCCTCTGTGGAAGCTCGAGATCACCATATAAGGGGTAAACATACAGGCGTAAACCCATCGTCCTCAGGGACAGAGACCAAGATAGGTAAACAGATTATCGGATCTGATTCTGATGAATTCATAGGCAACCGACAATGCGAGTTAAACAAAGCGCGTCAGAAACACCCTGAAAGTGAGTACTGCTCTCTATGCGACCTGCTTTTTGTTGACCCCAAGGCATTTCAAGAGCACTTGCAGTTCCTAACACCCCGGGTAAAAGGCTTATATGTCTGTACGTTGTGTGAACCGTCAGAATCGTTTGTCGACGAGCGTGCCCTTCTTCAGCATAAGACGTTTAAACACTTTAACGAACAGTAAGCATTAAGGTTCCTAAACTAAAGACTAAATGGAAACTGTTCCCCTACACACACACCTATCTATGTAGCGAGAGCAATAGATATGCGGTATATGGTTAACGGATCAGACATTGCTTAACGTCTGAGCCTTCATCCTTGTAGTAAGCTTAATGAGGAACTTTTTTATTTTTAAATGTGGATCCCATTTAGTCTATACATAACCATTATAGAGTCGTAGGATCCTTAACAACTGATAGTTCAAGTAATATTAATAGGAAAACCATGACGACCTTTCGATCGATGCATCTTATGGACACCTTAACCTTCAATTTTGTCAACCTAGATCAGCTGACGGAAACGTACTGTACATCATTTTACGGCGAATATGTTACGCATTGGCCAGAATACCAGCGAGTTTGTATTCATCCAACGACTGGTCTACACATGGGCTATGCGCTGGGCAAGGCGGAGGGGAATGGGGAGGATTTTCATGGCCACATTTCTGCCGTAACGGTCGCATCGACCTTCCGCCGTCTAGGGCTCGGTGCGAGCCTTATCAAGGAGCTCGAAGAGGCCACCACCGATATCCACGACGCGTACTTTGTTGATTTGTTTGTTCGCAAGGGTAACACGGTTGCCCAAGACATGTACCACAAGCTCGGATACATCGTCTACCGGAGGGTGCTTTCATACTATCAAGGCGAGGGATCCAAGGGACATTTTAAATACGACGAGGATGCAATGGATATGCGCAAAGCCATGCCTCGTGACAAAACTCGGAAAATTAGCTCCGTCATACCGCTCAAGCACCCAGTGCGAGCCGATCTTTTGTGGAACTGATTTTCGAAAAGTAGTCTTAACTAAAATAATCTCTTTGGTTCGAAAATTACAAGCACCTTGATCGAATACTGAGAGGTGACTTTTTTTTCAGTGATTACGTCGAAAAGTTGGTGACATTTTTAATAGTTTTTGAATGAAAGAAGCTTTGTCTAACCTGACCAAACTCCTATTAAGGGTAGTTTCGCTTGACACCAAATTGCGTTATCGACATTACTGATCCTGCCTGTCCAAGAACCACACTGGGATTAGCACGGTAGTCGTAATATTCACAAAAAAGACATTCGCATTATCCACGTCGGCCGAAATCCTCTATTCCGGAAGTCAAATTAAATTAAACAACCTCCTCAGGATGGCGTTCATGATTTTTTTTTAGCAAGCGAGATGAGATAACGATCATTATGGTTGGTGAATTTTCTAAGTTACGATGCGCATCGAGAGGTGCCATCATTTTTTGGAAGGAAGAGGGTTTGTTTGAACTAAAGAATATAGTGAGTAAAAATATTGTTGCCCATTTTCGATTGAACAACATTGATTTTGACTTTTTTTTTTGGATCAAAACAATAGTATTACCGAAACGACCACCCTAATTCAATGACAACCGGATACATGCTACCCATTGCCGGTGTTATTCACGGCATTTTGTCTTTATGCTAGGGTTTGTCAGACTCGAGGTAAAACACCCTTCAACGGTAAAACCTGTGTTTTCCCCTTAAAGACCAAATGATTGTTTGTTTCAGTTGTGTTGTATCCTGAAGCAGAGCCACCTCGCTGATTCCTGGACCAATTGGTATGTGCAAATTTTTATGTATGACGGGTCGTGGAACCGTTAGTGAGTGGGTCATGACGCTTACATGTTGCATGGCATCTGGTGATGAGAGTAATCTATTTGACGAGACTGATAGTTGCTTCTTTGCATGGTTGATTGGTGAACTGTGATGAGAACTTTTTTTTCCTACTGTTTCTCTCAAGATTCAGCACTTTTGAGATAAGGGGAGGGTCGACGGAGTAACTCTGGTGAGTAGACCTAGTACAAAACATTTGTAGGGTCTGGTGGTGTGAGTGCTGTTCTTCACCACTGCCTCAACAAAATTTGCGCGAGACCTATACTTTTTGTCCCCCTCCAACTTTTTGAATAAGCACTTTGCCCCCTTTCCCTTCAGGAAAGGTACTTCTGTTCACAAACCACTCAACAGGTGTGGCTGCACGTGACGGCAGTTGAGAGGAACCTACAAATATAAAATTTATGACAGGGAAGTGTTCAGAAAAAATTAAAACATTCAAGGATATACGACACTTCCTTTCCCTTTTCCGAACTCGTGTTAAGGTTTCTATTTATTATCACTCCTCTTTTTTTTCTGACCTATTTCAATTTGATTAAATAGAGCGATAATTCGCCTTGATTTTTTTTTCGGAATTAGAAGCATTTATCTTCCGAAAAGGTACGCAAGGAAGGAAAAGAATAATGAAATGAATATTACACTATATCAAAGAGAGGTTCACAATTTTTTTTGAAAGGTTGACTTTGGCGATCGCTTTATGTGTGGTTCATTGGCACATTTCTTATACTGGCTTACCCTTCCATCGGTGATGATTTGACCCTGACTCCTTTTGTACACTCAGTGGCTTACCATAATACTATAATAACACGTGGGTTATGTTTCTTGCTTCACATCCTCATCTGATTATCTTTGTCATGAGTACGAAAACAGTTATGACGCTTTTTTATTCAATGAGCTTCGCCTACCTAAGCGGGTTGTCTGTGGTGATGGCGGTCTATAAGATGTCTTACAAAGGGTTTTTATCCAAGTTTAGCCTTGTGGAAGGAGCTATTGACCATGACATCTGAAATCCGAGGAAGTGGCAATTGTAATATTTTTAGTGTGGGTCTTTAACTTTAAGGATATTCGTCCTTTCCTGGTCGTTTCATTACTTATTCTACCGCAGCGCCGGAAGGACTTGACGTAGTGGCGAAGCGATGGCACCGTTTGTATTTAGCGTAGAGACTTTTCCTTCGTATCAAATTAACACAAGTATGTCCAAGATCTCGTAGTTATGTAGCAAGCTGTTTCTGACAAGATGCGCCTCCACGTTGCCGCAAACATAGACTTAAGTTTGCTTTTTATTTAATCTTTTAAAGCATGGCTATTCAAACATAAGCTGGGCTGGGGAATAGGATTAGGGTTAGGGTTAGGGTAAAGGGCCTAAAGCGAGACTCAATCTGAATTTTCAAACTCCATGACCCTTCAATACAAATCACCTAAACCCTGGCCCGTTCTCAAAGCCATACCCTGTTCCAAAACCAAACCCTAGCCCTAGCCCGTTCCTTATGCCTTAACCTGTTCCCTGGCCTCATTCACACCTCCTCGTGCCTTCCCTTTTAAACGTTTGAAAGAGGCAGGCATCAAAGTTCGAACGCGTGATAAGGCTTTCCGCTTCCCGACAAGGAAAGGCATCCCATTCAACAATGCCCGCCCCACCCCGCAAGGGACTTGGGCACAGTTCACTCAAGATCTCCTCACACCGCAGAAACACTAAGGCAAATGAAGTGAATACTCATCGTCTGGCGAGAAGTGTTTATAATTCCAAAAAGAAGTATTGGTGTCCTTCACTTAAATAAGAAAAACTGAAATAAAAGGGGAAACACCTTTGGATTTTAGGAACTTCACAAATAAAAAGTGCATCGCGCAGTAGCTGGCCTGTGTTGTTTTTAGACTGATAAGATTGTCAGATGGAAAATCGCTTATAATAATAAAATATGGAAAAAACTTACCTAGGTGAAAACACAACATGTTTAAAGAAGGTAAAGTATTTTTGAACCATTTCTGAATTCATTTCATCCCATTTTTTGCATATTTTCTGTTAGACAATCGAAAATAGATTCATTCGGTCGTTTAGAACCAAATGTTTTAATATTTTTTGTCCAAAAAAAATTGATATTTAGCCTATAAAAACGAACTTTTCATGCAAAATAAACGGAAAAAGAAGTGTTAAGTTAAAAAAAGAAAGCACACGGTACGTTAAAAATATATGATCAGACGTCCTTAAATAACCGATACTAGACGTCACACAAGCATCTCATGCTGATCAAAAAAACAATTCGGAAGACGATAACACGTTCTTTAGGAACGGATCTGTAATCAAGGCAATATATTCAGTGCCACCATTATCTTCCAAAGAGGGACAAAAATAGAAAAAAAAAATCAGTACATACTACTTGAAATTAAGATTATTATATCTGAAATCTAACTTTCACCATGCATTCGCCA